TCTTTTCTCAGAGCTTGACATTTGTTTTTCTTCTCTAACTCAGGATGCTGTATTCAGTTATATTTCTCAGCTTGTATCACAAGAGTATATGTAAGGACACAGATGAGTGAATCTGTCACTTTATTCATCTAGCTCTTAAATTTCCCATGGAAACTCTATGCTGGGAATATTTAATAAGATACTTGTAACAACATGACTTTCATATTATCCTTTTTAGTTTTTCTTTTTTCTTAATATTGTTATAGTTAATCCACAAAAGTTAAAGCTAGAGTAGAACTTCCATAGTTTAATGACCATTCTATTATTAGAAGATATTACTGAATCCAAAAACCAAAGTGAAGGTAGGAACTTAAGGGGGCATTACGGAGGAGAAAAAGTCAAAATGGTGAAGGTTTAAGTATTAGGCGATGTTAAAAAGGCAGATTGATTTGAAAAGTCAATTTTTTATATGTAGATTTCACCATGGGAATAAGGATATGGAAAGAAAAGTCGAAAAGTTTAATTTGTCAAATTTTTTTTGCCAAAAAATTTTGCTAAAAGTGTGTCATGGGCACCCCCACACACACAAAAAAAAAAAAAAATTGTGAGAACTGTTGCTTAGAACCTTGCAATGACCTATGGCCAGTTTCAAGAAAAGTAGCATTCTACTGTAGTTTTTTAACTAGGCATAAATCAATACCATTGTAGAACCAGGGGCTGTGATTATACCTTAGGCTTTGGACATTTTCTAGGTCCATCCAATCACACAGAAGCTGGGCAAGTTCTTTTTGCCAGCTTAACATTATTAGCCATACAACATGACTCAATAGGCAACATATAGTTCTAAAATAGTACAGTTCTAAATATTAAGTCTCCCAAATTCTACATACAGGCTTTGCTGCATTTGGGTTCTGTGACCTTTTGCAAATTATTTGCCATTCTGGGTCAAAACTAGATGGTTAAGGTCAGGATCATTGAATTATTATCATATTAATGTATGGTGTGTGGCTGGTTAGCTTTAGAAAGAAAATTGTTCCAAGGTAACATGCAATATAAAAAATTTGAAGAGGTGAAAAAAAAAACTTAGATGATATGAATGACTAAGCATGACTATCATCTCATCACAAAGTTACATAAAAACAATTCCAATACAAGACCAACTTCTCAGTTATTGGTGTCATCTTTGGATGTGAAAGAAAAAAATCTAAATAAGGTTGGTTCTTGGTATCTGGGGATGAGGAACCCTCGAATGAGGAACCCGTGGATATGGAATGCCGACTGAACTATGCCACTTTATAATAAGGGGCTTGAGCATCCTCAGATTTGGTATCTGCAGAGGTGGGAGTCCTGAAACCAATCCCATGAGGATACTGATGGATGATTGTATTATTATTCTTTTGTGGCTGCTGTTTGCTCATCTGTAACGAAGTGGGGAAAAAATCCTTGCACACAAAGGATTGTTAAGATAAGCAACCTATAAACATGCCTGCCAAGTGTTCCTCAGAACATAAATTGCTCCATAAAAGTACCAGTAACGATCCGGTGGCCTGGAAGAATCCAAGTTCAGTGTTCTAGCCTATACAGGTCCTTTTGTCAGCAGTGAAATAAATATTCTGGGCACATCTGACCTCAGAGAAGTCAGCTGGTTATTTAGGTACTTGGAGGGTAGGAAGAGGGAAGGGTAGCAACTTCCAACAGATCTTTTCTCTTTTAAACTTTACCTAGGAGTGTTAAACACTGAGAACTGTGCCAGTTTGAAAGGGAAGAACAGAATCTGAAGGGATCAAACTACATAGAAAAAAGCTAATTGACAATGATTAATACATCAAAATCACACTGATTTTTTTTAACAACTGCTTTTTAAAAAGTTAACTAATTTATTTATTTATATGGCTCTGTTGGGTCTTAGCTGCAACATGCAGGATCTTTGTTGAATCACGTGGTGTCTTTCACTGCAGTGTACAGAGTGCACGGACTTCAGCAGTTGTGGCCCACAGGCTTCGTGCTCCATGGCATTTGGAATCTGAGTTCCCCAACCAGGGACTGAACTTGCATCCTTTGCCCCGTGGGCTTCCCAGGTGGTGCTAGTGGTAAAGAACCCACCTGTCCGTGCAGAATACTTAAGAGATGCAGGTTCGATCCCTGGGTTGGGAAGATCCCCTGGAGAAGGAAATGGCAACCCACTCCAGTATTCTTGCCTGGAGAATTCCATGGACAAAGGAGCCTGGCAGGCTGTAGTTCATAGGGTCACAAAGAGTTGGACTTAGCACGCACACACCCTTGCGTTGCAGGACATATCCTTTACCACTGGGCCACAAGGGAGGTCCACACACTGATTTGAAAGGAGAGGTGGCAGTCAGTTTTCAATCCTTCTCCCTGTGATCTAAGAAAATCTGTGTACCTGATTAATTGGATACCTCAAAATACTGAAGATGACTTTCTGAAACCGAGACTCCCTGAGCCTCTGGCTTGTGGCCTGGGACACTCTCCTGACCAACAGGCAGACCAGCTACAGTTTCCTAAGGAGATCTCTGACCTCAGACAAGTCTGCTGTAGCCCCACTGAGGTTCCAGCTCCCAAGCTTGGAGTGAGTCAAAGGTGGCTCTTAAGAACTGGAAGTCTTGTACCCTCCAGGGAGAAATGCCCAACAATGTGAGTTAGGACTCGTAAGGTTACCCCAGAGCACCCCAGGAACCCACTGGACCTGGAGGAGGGAAGGGATCCAGCTGGGGTGAGGTCTCAAACTATCTTGCTTCCCAAGACAGACTTCCTCAGAATTGGGGCTAACCTGGAACAGGGATTCCTAAGGAGTCCCCAGACACTTGTGAACATAGGACAAAAGGTATCCTTGTTGAGGACACGAGTTTACCTATAAATTTACCTATAAATTTCACACGGCTAGTAAATGCCACCTGGAAATTTTGGAACAATTATTTATTGAATCAACTCACAGACTGTAATTGTTCTTTTATATTATAAATGCCGTTGCAGTGTTACTCAAAATATTGTGAGAGGATCTCTGACATCAGAGTAACTTGTGTGTGCTTGTTAAAGATGTAGATTCCTAAGCCCCACCCCAGATTCCTGAATCTAACCCTGGAGACTGAAGTCCAGCCCATGAACTGAATTTTTAAGGAGAAGCCCAGTTAACTCAGGTGACCCATATCAAGACAGGAGAATTACTGTGTCTACACAGTCCATCAGAAATGTATGGATTAGGGGTTAGGATATTTTCCCCCTAATGTGTAAGTACCATAAAAATGAAAACAATGTTTGTGATAAGTTCTTAAGAACCATGCCAGTATTTTCTACCCATGTATAATAAGCACCATTATTAAAATGTGATTACGAGCAAAAAATTATTGGGTAAAATATCAACCCTGCTTCTCAAAAACACTGCCTTTATTTTGTCACCAAAAGTAATTATGCTATTAAAGGAATTTATAGTTTTTCTAAGTATCAGTCACTTGGCTGCAGGAACTTAATAAGCTGTTCCACTCCTCCTATAGCTATTTAGTCATCAAAAGTTTAGTGATAAGACTTTTTTTGTTATTATTAAAGTATAAATTGTGAACCATTACACCTAGTGATTAGGCTGAATATGAGTTTATATCTGAGTGATACATTCTTAAAAATATGTTTCATTAGAATTATTAAGGCAGTCAGAGCTAGTAGATTAAATAGCCTCTATAGTAACGTTCTGTTTACTTCTATTAAGATTTTTTGGGGCGGGGGTGCAAAACAATTCAGTTTTAATTCATTCTCTTAGGAGCAAAAGGGAACAGTTTCTGATATACATGCTACTGCAAAGCAGTAAACCAGTGTTGCATGGTTATGTGACAAGCTCCACATTTCTTTTCTAGAGGGATTTTTTTTTCTTCCTTATATACTCCTCCTTTCCAAACCATGCCTATAATTATTTCACAAAATACAGTTTGCCATTTCTGAAGAATCAAGCACTCCTTCTCCCCCTCACCAAAAATCACATGTTCAGGCTGAACTGTGAATGAAAATGGGCCTGAGAGGAGGCTTTGTTTGTAGCCTGTCATTTCTACTAAGGGTTGCCCCCTACCCATGTTCCACCCTAGAGCTCCCAGGGAAGTATACATGCTATGTTTTAACAGATGGGCCGGCTGGCGACTGCTGGGCTATAAAACAGGAACTGGGAATCTGCTTGGAGTGGTATTGAATTGAATGCTCATAAAGTTCATGGACATACGCTGACCCAGACAGACTAGGCAGATCCAGACATGCTAACACACACACACTCAACATACACCCCACAGATCAGAAAACGTTCAAGGCAGTTTCCCCCTCCATATCTCTTTCATTTGCTTATCAGTTATACACACACACATATAAATACACACATACATGGCACATCTACATATGCATGGATAGCTATATATCTCAATGTTTTTATACATTCTCAAGGATCAAAATATCCTTCAATCCTGTCCCTAAGTCTCTACCTAGTACTCTCAATAAGCTCTCTCTCATTCATGTTAAATAATTACAAGAAGATAATTAATTCTATTTAGTCCACACATAATATAAATCACATATATGTAACCACCCTGAAAAACAAAACAAAAACAGCTGCTTTTACCCCTTATCAACCAGAAGGAAAAAGAAATCTATCCCAGACTGAGTCACAGACATTAAGTGTTAGGTTTAACCTTGAATCTTCTGCTGTCAGTTCCTGTCACAACTTCAAACACCAACCGACCAGCCTGGTGGTCGTTTTCACAGTCTTTTGGATTCCCCGGGGCCTCCCAGCATTGAGACGGACAGCAGCTACCCCCGGTCCTAACGAAGTCCTTCGGGCACACCTTGCATAAGGATGTAGAGGTCCGAGCACCTCATGAGGGATGTGGATTCAAGTGCTAATGGGAAGTAATTACAAAGTTTTATATCCGCGCTGTCAATTCCTTTCAATAACTGCAAAGCACTAAAGCCGCTGCCACGGAACCTGGATGGTTCTTAAGTTCTCTGAGCCCTAAAGACCCACCCCGAGCCGGATGATCGCTGGCATCAGGCACAGGGCTACCTCTTCCCGCCGACTCCGGCGCGTAATTTTTCAGGAACCCATCTTCAAGCATCTAGGAACTACTGTCCGCACGCCACTTGACACGAAGACAGCCCCTAGCGCGCGTGTCACCGATGTCTACATCGGTGGGGGCCAGGGGACGCGTCCTCGGACCCCATCTAATGATGGCAATTACAACACACCAAGTTTTCGCCGACGCAGAGCCGCGTCCTGGGCCGATTTGGAACGCTTTGAAACAAGAAGTTCGGGAGTGGGGGGTGCTGGCAAGGAGCGAATACCGCCAAGCCCTAACCTCGCAACAAGCCGATACGCTCGCACCGACAGATCGACGCGCGCCAGGACGCGTCCAGTACCCCGCCGTCCCCCGGTCGCCGAGCGACGCCAGGGGAGCCGCTCTCCTTGCGCGCGGCCACTCACCCTCGTAGCCGAGTCCTGATCGCAAACCGACGCCCCTGCTGCGAGTCCTGAATCCCAAGTTGCCCCGAACCAGCGACAGCTCTCGCCCTGGCCGACCAGGGCACATTAGCTCCGGCAGGCACCTCGGAAGGAGCACAAGCCCGATGGTAGCCCCGGCTCAGCAGCTGCCCGGAGCGCGCCGACAATTCACGGACCTGCTCTGGGAATGAGGCGGACAGGCGCGTAGAGGCAACCCGGCTCCGGAGGGAGGCGGGGCCAGGAGGCGGGCGGGGCGGAGCCAACCCGGGGCCAGCCCCGCGGGGCGGGGCGCCCTGCCAACCGTGACTGGCGGTGCCTGCAGCCAATCGCAACTGCGTCAGGGACCGGGGCGGCCGCGGGCGTTGCTGAGCGCCTGGCTCCGCCCCGCCGCCGCCGTCCAATCGCCCGCAGCTGAGGGCTGGCTGGGCTACGCGCCCGCGGCGGGGAAATTGGCAAAGGTGTGGAGCCGAGACTGCGGGCTGGCGCTGTGGGGGCGGCTGTGGCTGGATCCCGACGCATCGCAAGGGAAGTGGTGGCCCCGGAGGGCTCCTGTGGGCCTGGGGCCGCCTGGAACCACCTTGAGTCGGCGCGCTGTGGAGCAGGAAGCCCGAGCGCCCCGTGGGCCGAGACTGGGTCGACACCGTCCACCCCTGGCGCCCGCAGGAGGTACGGAACTTGGCGTTCCCAAAGGGGGTCAGCTGGAGGAAACTGAGACCCAAAGATGATGAAGCCCGGGCTAGATCACGGAGCCGCCGGTGGACATCCGGGACGGGAACTGCGAGCTCCGGGTTTTCTGAAAAGGTTCTGACTAAGGTCTGATGTTATCTCCGAAATAAATCTCCAACTCCGCCAACCCTGCGGAGAGTTCCCGACACCGTTCCTCCTCATCCCGACCCTCCACACTACCGGCAGCAGGGACTTGACCAGGTGCCTAGGCTCCCTTCCCGACCCGAGGCGCCCTGGCACCTGCACAGGGCCCGGGGGCGAAAGGAAGGCTTGGGGCGCTCGATAGTGGGGCTGTCTGGCGGAATGACCTCCGCAGAGGTGGCTCCCCCTGCCGCTGTCCCTGGGGTCTGCTGGATGGACCAGGACCGTCCCATCTTGGCGAGCAGGAACGGCGCAGAACGAGCCCCGCCTGTCTCAGACTGCGCGCTCTTGCCCTCTTTCCTTCGGAAGTCCCAGGTCCTAGTTAGACACCGTTGTAGTGCCTGGATTTGGGGGCATTCTGAGCTCGCTGGGTCAATCCTTGGCTGAGTGGCCTCGAAGGAAGGCTTTGTGGGCTCTGCCCTCCCTGGACAGCCAGGTCACTGTTGCTCATTTTCTCGGCCAATCAGCTCCTCAGCCGGGTTTTAAGTCCTTGCCTTGACTGCTGCACACCTACATACAGAGCTGGGGGTGTCGAGTCACAAAGCAGAGCTGGGTGCTACTTTCCAGTCTGAGGCCTACAATGTTAGCAAGCCCTTGACTGTAAGCTGTTCGTGGGGAGCAACCTCCGTATGCCTTCCACAGGTAGACACCCAACCCATGTTAGTGAAATGAAGATGTGCATGGCAGGACGGGGGTCAAGCTCCCTGGCACCCTGACACTCACCTCCATCACTGACTGTTGTCTCCCACACATCTGGGTTCGATCCCTGGGTTGGGAAGATCCCCTGAAGAAGGGAATGGCTATCCACTCCAATATTCTGGCCTGGAGAATTCCATGGACTTACAGTTCTTGGAGTCGCAAAGAGTCCGACAGGACTGAGTAACTTTCACTGGCCCCCATAAGGACCTGCATCATAAGTAGCCCACCTCTCAAGAGCAGGTTCTGATGAGGGTCATTGGCAAGGAAGGAAGGAAAAGGCCTGTGGCTGAAAAGCAGTGAAACGGCCCCTCTAGCAGGGAAGGCTGCAACTCTGAGGGGAGCTATGTGCTTGGACTGAGTTTCAAATTGGTTCACCTCATCTCCCCATCGCAGTGGGGAAAGCAGGCTGTCAGGGGGGCAAGAAAATCAGGGTCTGGACAGTCCTTAGTAGGCCCTGAAAGATTGATTGTGCTAAGTCACTTCAGTCATGTCTGACTCTTTGTAACCCCGTGGACTGTAACCTGCCAGGCTTCTCTGTCCATGGGATTCTCCAGGCAAGAATACTGGAGTGGGTTGCCATTTCCTTCTCCAGGGGATCTTCCCAACCCAGGGATCGAACCCGTGTGTCTTATGTCTCCTGCATTGGCAGGCAGGTTCTTCACCACTAGGTACCTCCTGGGAAGCCCTGAAATGTAGATTAGTCATGCAGAACTTGTGCATATTTAAGCCCTTCCTCACTGGTGGCTCAGACAGTAAAGAATCCGCCTGCAGTGCAGGAGACCTGGGTTTGATCCTTGGGTTGGGAAGATTCCCCTGGAGAAGGGAATGGCTACCCATTCCAGTGTACTGACCTGGAGGATTTCATGGACAGAGGAGCCTGGCAGGCTACAGTCCATGTGGTAACAAAGAGTAGGACACGACTGAGCAACTTTCACTTTTCCACTTTCATCTAATGAACCAAAAGACTGGTACAGGCAAGGAAGACCATTCCATCCAGTTCCAACAGTTGTTTAGTGTGCTGTGGAGAATGGCCTTTTCCCACAAGGAATTAGATGTAGACCATGTGAATGGAATATATACTAGGTCTGTCTATACTGAGGTCAGGATGGGAGATATAGGAAAAATGTCTTTCCTTGGATGTTTTTTTCAACTCCTGGATGACTGGAGAAAAAGTTTTCTACCAGTGTGTATCATACCCTGTGAAGGTTTGGCACAGATGCTAATAATTATTTTTTTAAAAATCACCTTGGTAATAGGAGCCAAACATTGTCTGTTGACTACACTTGATATAGTATTTATGTTAGATGATGAAAAAAGGAAATAGGAAATGTCTTTTCATGAAATAAGTTAACAACTAAACAAGTAACTTCCATGTCCCAATTTCCAAGGTTTTCTGTTTGTTTGTTTCACAGAGACCTTCCCGTCCATGAATTCGTAGACAAGCAACTGGTCTTGTTTTCCCTTATAGGATGGATGACATTGGAAGAGGCAGAGCACGTCTAGATTGCATTCATATTTCCACGCAATGTTCTGTGATAATTGGTACTTGACAGGAGCTTATCACTCAGGCACAGACTTACTTCACTTGTTGCCAGTCCCCCTAATGATCTCTTGAGTTGGGGTCATCCCCTTATTCTATTAATACAAAGGAAAAGTAAACCTATTACTTGCCTAAGAACTCATTATGGTCCTATTTGTATGAAACAAACTAAACAAAACCGTGGAAATCTGGACTTGGAAATCTCTTGTTTAGTTCTTCCTGTTTCACCAAAAAGAAATATTCTCTCTCTCAAAAGAATGAGGAAGTTTGTGGAATGGCTTGGAAGATTGAGAAGGGAAGAATGAGAAGACTGAGGTGGGACCATGCAAGCAGGTCTGGTCCCTTTGTGGATGGTGAGCAAATTTGCCTTCAGGCACTCTCACCCACCTCTGACACAAAGAATATTTTGGGACCTCCTAAATTTCAATAGGGTGTGACTGATAGGAGCATTGGGTTCTAGTCTGAGTGACTGCTGTGGTGAGTGCTCCTGGCAGTCACTTAACCTCTGTTTACCCTTGCTTCCTTGATCGTAAAACAGCAGTGGCTGAATCCACTGTATTTATCTCCTTAAGGCGGACACCATGCCAGTGGTGACACAGCACTGTAAATGTACCAGCTGCTGAAAAGGAGAACAAAACAATGTTGAAATGGGAAAATAGTGTGGTCTGAACAATTCCCTTTTACACCTGCAATTTCTATTCATTTTAATCTCATTGGATTACTGTTCTTCCATTCTGCAAATGGAAATGAGGGCAAAGGGCCCTCACAGTCCTTCTTCTTTGATTACTAAATGTTTTGAAAGTTTTACTTAGTGAACAGTATTTTCCCCCTTTCCCATGTCTACCACCTCTTTCAGCATATATTTAACTTAGAAACTTAGTCAGAATTTGAACAGGTTGAGCAAAGAAATGCCGTCAGAAGTAGCAGATTCTAATACCAGCTAGGCTATGAGTTCATTCTGAGACCTTAGGCAAACCATTAACATTCCCCATACCTCGGTTTCCCATCTATGAAACTACAGTGATACTTCTGATTAATATCACAAAGGTAGGAAAGATAACAAATGATAAGGCACTTTGCAATATTAATTGTAGTGTAGACTACAAAATATCATGTAGATATTTTTGGCAAACTGAAGTATGGTGTTAGCTTGTACATGACAACTAGGAGATATTTTTCTAACACAGAGTGTTCTGGTACAGTATCTGTGGCCAGGGTATTACCACCTAAAAAACAATGATGTCTCATTGCATTTGAATGACAGTGCCGCTGTTCCATATGAGAGTGTATTGCCACAGACCCAACTAAGTAAAAATGTGATAGCAGACATGGGTGGGGAAGGGAAAAGCGTCTATTCCACAGAAACGTGGGATTTGCTCATACATACCCCAGAAGAAGAACTACATTGAACTTTTAAAAAATGAATGCCACTGAGTGAGCACTAGTCTGATGAAAGACAAGAGTGATTATGGAAAAATGGCCTGACATAAAAATTAGACAAATTGGTCTAGAAAAAATAGTCCTAATTTAAACGTTTCATAACAAAATGAGTAAAACCGAGGAATTAGACTTTGGGAAAGGGAGGACCATGTGTTCAGGAAGGAAAAATGGACTCCCAACACACGTAAAATTTAAGAACAGTGAGGCTAGAAACCGGATGAAGAATATGGGCTCTGGAAATACCAGAGACCGAGGGTTGGATTTTCTTTCCACTGCTTCCTCACTTTGAGACCTTGGATAAGTAATAGTCTCTTGGAGCCAGATGGAGTAGGGGTGGAAGGTGATAAGGGTTTTCTTACTGGTTTGTTATGAGTCTCAAACTCTGAGCGCAGGGCCAGGCTGATTAGTGGGCCCTCTTGTTGTCCAGTCACTAAATTGTGTCTGACTCTTTGTGT